GAAAGAAAGAAAGAAAGAAAGAAAGAAAGAAAGAAAGAAAGAAAGAATTAGAAACTCAAGAGAATTTGCTTTAATTTGGGACCTGCATCACGTGTAAAGCAAGGAACGTTTTTCTCCTTAACATTTTTTAAAAAGTCTCCTAAGTTCCACTTAGCCAAAGTTCTTCGGTGGTGAAGCTTGAGAAGAAGCAGGATGAGAGAGGGAGAGAAAGGAAGGACGAACGAAGCTTCAAAGAGACGGAGAAGAGACGCTCTCTGGCCTAGGACAGCGGAAGATCTGGAGGCTGGGGTTGAGGGCCGCCTTTTTCTTTTCCTCCTGGGCCATTTTCTCCTCAGTCTTCCATCACTTCCTCCTGCCAATCTGGGCCATCAGCTGAGCGTTGGTGGCGGCTTTGGCCCTCAGGTTCTTGGCCTTCGCGATGTGGAATAGGATGTTCATCAGGTTGGTGGGGACGTCCAAGGACAGGGTAAACTTAGCGCGCCGGTCGTTCTTGGCCTGGTTGTGCACCGTCTTTCCTTTGGACTGGGCGAGGGTGACGTAGCGTGTGACGGCCGGGAACGTCCGTTTCTCCTTCTCCGTCCCCAGGTCCTCCGAGGAGTTGGAGTCTTCATTGTCCACCAGTGGGACCACGAAGGTCTTCTTCTCCAGGAATGAGTTCTCCGCAGCCATGAGCTCCTCCTTGGCCTGGGAGAGAGCAGAGCTGAGGAGACAGCTGAAGATGGAGTCGGCGTTGAGGGAGAAGCCCGTCCTGGCGGTGGAGAGAACCAGGAGGAGGAACAGAAGTCTTGAGGAGGACGTCATGGTACCACAGCGCCTGGGACACCAAAGAAGGAGAGAAGGTTTGTGAACATGGGCCCTGAGGAAGATCTTGGCTACATTTCTACAGGAGCTGAGTCTCAACAGGTAGTCCTGGACTTACAACCACCACAGAACCCACCTTTTCAGTTGTTAAGCGAGACGTTTGTGAAGTGAGCTTTGCCCCATTTTACAACCCTTCTGTTGTGGCCCACCAGTGACCAGTGGAGCTGGCGCAGATTCGGACAGCGAGGAGGTTGGGGAGGAACATGGGCCAGTCCTGGAGCCCGGGGAAGGCTCTGAGGAAGGCTCCGCATCGGAGGCAGAGATGGGGCCAGGGCCGTCCGACAGTTAGCTGCCTTTGAAGTCGGAGATCAGTGAGGTAGAAGAACAGCTGGAGCCTGTTTCCAGTGTGCGTATGCACAGAGCTGCCAGAAGAAGGGAACAGCTAAGGAACAAGGGTCGACTCGGGAATAAAGGCACAGGTGGACGGTGAACGGCCCCTCCCACAGGGAATAATGTGATTCCAAATAAAGAATGATCGATCGGTAGGAAAACGGGATGGGGGGATTTTCCTGCAGAATCTTTTTGGGGATTTTCCCAGGGTCTCTGGTCCGCAGGATTTAAAATTATGAGTTTGGGGGTCCCTGAGGTCCAACAGGTTCACAACCTCTGGGCTAAAACTAAATTAAATCAGGTTTGGGAAGCATAATAAAAAGCAGTTCGTCTTCTTAAGCTTTACAGTTAATCCTCAACTTGTAGTCATTTGTTTCATGTCCATTCAAAGTTGCGACGGCACTGAGAAATGGGACTTACGACTGTGGTTCACACTTAACGACCACTGTAGCATCATCCAAATCATTCGTCACACTTAATGACTATGGAAGCATTGCCAGGGTCCGGAGAGCCAATATTTAAATGGTTAATATTTATGACGGCTGCAGCGTCCCGGTTTGTGTGTGTGTGTGTGTTTGTGTCTGTGTCCCGCAATCTCTTTTTGAAGCTTCCTGACCAGTCAAATCAACAGGTGTGGGTGTGTGGGGGAAGCCAGATTAGTTTAATGTCAACTCATAAAATATTTCTATGGTCATTTTAAGAGTTGCCAACAGAAAGGGAGGGGGGGCAAAGGGGTTTGAAAGAGCAGTGCAAGCAGCTTGGAAACCAAAAGTGCATTCCATACATAGTTTTTCATAGATAGTAACTAGGTGACTGAAGTTTCTGCCACGCAAACACCTACGACGATTCACTTAACACAGCTGTCCTAAAACGGGGCAAAACTATAGTCTAGAAATACTCTTGACGTTTGCTTTAGATATATATACGTATATTAAGTGTTAATATGATGTTCTTTTTTCTGTGTTTGTTTCTTTTCTTTTCTTCCCTTTTTACTTGAATTAGTTACCTATAAAGATGATATAGCTTTGTTTGTTAACATTAATTAAGAACTGTGAATTAATATAGTTAACATGGAAAACCTGTCAAATTCTAAGTGTACATATGATAGTCTACTGCCAAGATAATGATATTGAAAGTTGCTGATATATTATAGAACCTTTTGACTATTATATAAACTTTTGTAAAGCTTTTTAACGTTTTGTTTTTTGTAAACTTTTTAATATTTTGAACTTTAAAAAAAAAAAAATTAAAAAAAATGGGGCAAAACACACTCGACATCTTTCTCATTTAACAACGGAAATGTGGTTGTAAGTGGAGGATCACCGGTATGGATTTTGAAACGGCTGTCCAATTCTGGCATTTCCCCCACCCTGTTCTGTTTGCACACCCGTAGGGCCAATTCTAGACTTTACATTACATTTTAAAAGATCTTTCTTTTGATCTTCTGGGATGGAATATTTTTTCTCCCCCCCTCGCCCCCCCCCCCCACGCCAAAAAACCCCCGTGAATCAAACAAGTTGCATTGGTCAGGTATCTGTTCTCATTCCCCCGCTAGGCATGCAAAATGAAAATAATCCTTGCCGTTCAGATAATGTCTTTAAAACAACAGTATTTTTTTAAAAATAAAAAATAAAACAATTCAGCGTAGTGGCAGAGCCTTTTTTCTTTTCTTTAATGGTGTCATTATCACAAGTGGAAAGCTGATAACATCTTTGGGTTGGGGGAAAAAATGTGAAGGAGGAGGAGGAGGCAAGAAGTATAAATGTTCCCAAATGTTCCAGATTAAATAATAATAATAATAATAATAATAATAATAATAATAATAATAATAA